CAATATTAATGCAATACTGGGTTTTCAATTCAATTGTATAGAATGTGAAAGATCTGTGTTTGTGTTTTATTTTTATAGTTATATAAAGATGAAGATGCCATTCAGTTTCATTGTATGAGTGACAATAAAGTAAACTACACTAAACTAAACTAAACAAATGGAGATGTTAAGCTCCAGCTTCAAACAGACACAAATGGTCATTATAATTCACATCTTCTGTCTTGCATTGCTCAGGTAGATGCCCTATTTGGTTCATTCCTATTACCACCCAACAATAAGACTGAGAGGATGATGGTTTCTCACCTCACAAATCTTTATTTTTACAGCGGTATTAACTTTTGCCTAAAAAGAATCCAAAAAACTGTTCTACCCTTGCTACTAAAAGTAGGGAATGATCTAAACTCGAAGAATGAGAGAAAGTTAGCATCTAAAGATGTTGCCACCAACAATCCAAAGCAAATAATATATATTTATTCAAGATAGGATAAATAAAATGAATGCATACCTTTAAGTTTACAATTGTAACTATAATCTTAATTCAATGTAATTATAATTGAATTGGGTGACTTGGGGCCAATCACTCTTTCTCTCAGCCCAACCCACCTCCCAGGGTTGTTGTGGGGAAAACAGGAGGCAGATTGGGTATGTTCACCACTTGAGTTATTTACATAAATAATAAAGGTGGAATATAAAATAAATGAATAAATAAATTAAAAAATAAACTCCACAAAATTCAACAACACACAGAAAGCAGAGTCGGACTGCAGTCCAAACTGGCTTATCTAGAAGCTGATTCCCCTAAAGCTAAAATGGAACTTACTTTGAAAAGTTACAGATAGGATACCCGAGAGCATTCTCAAATCACCTTAATCTCAGCCAAGTAATCACTCTTCCTGTGATTAAATACTCTGCAAGCGCTGTTTTTTAAAACTAGGTTCATCCCATTCTCTGTCCCAGCTGTGCCCCAAACCTTCAAACCATAAGCTCTTGCTAATTGGCATGCTGCTATTCCAACCTAAGAAACAGAGAGGAAAAACAGCAGACAATGATAAGAAGTAGTAAAGTTCCCTGCATAATATTCTCGTCACAATCATCATATTGAATGAAGAGACTTTCAATAACACAGCACTGACTCCTTATTACTACAGTTGTTGCAGTGTTCAGTGTGTTCACCTTTATTTGATACCATCTGCATGAGACAATCTACTCTTTCTCTTAACAATAGTTCAAACATCATCCCTGAAACAAAAGGAGGCAAATGAATAATTAATTCAGCCATCAGGGTATACGATTATACTTTTTCAGGTAGCATGTAAAATCTATCCGCTCAATTACCACTGGAGTGCAACCATTCCCTCTTCAAATTTCCAAGATATCAACTTTAAACTACCCCTTTATAGAATTATTCAAACCAAGGGTTTCCAATTTGGGGTACCTGTACCCCCAGGGGGTTTAAGATGGAATTTCAGGGGTTGCAACAAAGAGCGACTTCTGTCAGTGACAAGTCACAAATCACAATAACTTTTATAGTGAGTGCTAACATTAATCAAACATCTCCTAGGAGTGTGGGGAAGAGAACAGGTTGGGAACCATTGCTCTTAAGCAGTGCAGAAACCCCATAACTTTTCCATTAAGGGAGACGCATTTTCAAGCAACACATTGCCAAGTGTCATGGGCCCTTTTTAATGCTTAGAAAGTTGCTACCAAAGGACCTCTTGGTTGCAACCCTTAATCCATTATGGAGGTACTACAGGATATATATTTTGTCTACTGTATGTGAAATGCACTAGGAGTAACCTGTCCAGTTGTGACCGATTCTAGAGGGCAGTGCTCATCTCCGTTTCTTAGCCTAGGGAGCCAACATTGTCCACAGATACTTCCCTGGTCATGTGGCCAGCTTGCTATTCCCTTGAGGTGCACGGAACACTATTACCTTCTCACCAAAGTGGTACATATATACAGGTAGTCCTTAACTTATGACCACAATTGAGACCAAAGTGTATGTTGCTAAGTGAGAAATTCGTTAAGTGAGTTAGGGAAAAATCATAAAGTGAAAAATCACTTTATGATTTTTCTTGACACATTTGTTAAGTGAATCACTGCAGTTGCTAAATTAGTAACACAGTTGTTAGGTGAGTCTAGTTTCCTCATGGACTTCGCTTGTCACAAGGTTGCAAAAGGGGAATCACACATGGATAGGCTGATGGGGGTTTGCAGGGGTTCAGGAGAATCTAGCTAAGATTCTGTGCAGTTCAAAGAACCCCCAAATCCCATTCCTGGTTCGCCCTGCCCCCCCCCTCCCAGGAGTCCCCACGTGGCCCATTTATATGCAGGTAACTGCAGGGCGCGCACGGAGTCTCAGGGAGGTCAAAAAACGGGCCTACTGGAAGTTCGGGAAGGCCAGAAACGGGCCTATTTCCAGCCTCCAGAGCCTGGGGAGGCCATTTTCGCCCTCTCTGAGGCTCGATGAAAGCCTCCAGAACCCGGGAACCATGGTGCAGGAGGCCAATTAGGCCATGCCCATGCCCACGCCCACCCAGCAACCAGGCAGAGAACCCCTTGCTAAAATTTCTGAAGCCCACCCCTGGAATCCTGTGACCCCAGGACACTGCAACCATCATAAATGTGAGTCAGTTGTCAAGCACCATGGGGATACTGCAACGGTCATAAGTGTGAAAAATGGTTGTAAGTCATTTTTTCAGTGTCGCTGTAACTTTGAATGGTCACTAAGGAGACTGTTGTAATTCAAGGACGACCTGTATCTACTCACATTTGCCTGCTTTCAAACTGCTAGGTGAGCAGGAGCTGGGGCAAGGACTGGAGCTTACACGTTGCACAGTGCTTAGGTCTCAAACCTGGTCTGTCAGCTCTCTAGCTGACAAGCTTAGAGTCTTTAAACATTGAGCCCTCATTTAATATTTCTTATGCCTTTTGTGTAGTGTTGCTTACCCGGAAAAGGGGATATCAAATCCCTGAAGAACAAAATAATTTCTCCCAATAAATACTGTATGTATCTACCAATTTATTTCTTTCCTTAAACGGCCACCAATTCACAAAAGTGCAATTCTGGGTGGCATATAGCAATAAAAACAGAATTGCTTACTCCTCCACTTGCTCCATGGACTAACACAGTTTCTCCTGCTTTGGCAGAGCCTCTGAAAAAAAACATAATAAATATTTTGAACATAACGATGTGACAGTTTTACATTATGCAGACCTCAAGTTTACATAGCCAGCAAAAAAAATAATATTATCCATTGAAAATTATGTTTAGTGGGCTCTTGATAATTAAATTGGGATCAATTCC